AATGAATATTTTGCATATCACCATAGAACCTTCATCTGGCAATGGATGGAGATAGAGACAGAGACACACATTGGAACACTGGACTTAACTCCCTAGATCCAAATGAGAAGCAGAAGGAGGGAAAACGTGAGCAAGATAGGACCAGAGGGAACCTTCATCGGACGATGGATGGTGATACAGACGGAGACCCACATTGGAGCACCGGACTGAGCCCCCCATGGTCCAAATGAGGAGCAGAAGGAGGAAGAACATGAAAAAGGAAATCAGGACCAGGAGGGGTGCGTTCACCCACTGATACAAGGGGACTGATCGAATGAGAGCTCACCAAGGCCAGCTGGACTGGGACTGAACGAGCATGTGATCAAACCGGATTCTCTGAATGTGGATGACATGGGGCTGACTGAGAAGCCATTAACAATGGCACTGGGTCTTGTTTCGTCTGCATGTACTGGCTGTTTGGGATCCTATCTGTTTGGATGCTCACCTTCCTAGGCCTGGAGGGAGGGGGGAGGAACTTGAACTTCCTACAGGGCAGGAAACCCTGACTGCTCTTTGGACTGGAGAGGAAGGAGGAGAGGGAGGGGGGGGGGAGAGGGAGCGGGGGGAATAAGAGGGTATGGGGAGGAGGGGAGAAAGTGGAAATTTTTATAAACAAACAAATAGAAAAAAGAAAAAAGAAAGGGTGGAGGGAGGAAAGAAGGAAGAAAAAATAAGAAAAGAAAAAATTGAGTTCAATTTTGGTTGCCCATGTACTCACTGGAGCATGGTCAAACTCCCAGTGTTCATCCCCTTAAAGGACACTGAGACCTTCTTCACCTGTACCCCTAAAAGACATCATCAATTTTGGAGAACCATACTTTACTATTTTTTTTTACCTTGCTATTACTTTTTGGGGGTGGCAGAGTGGTGGTGGGGTTGTCACAGAAACCTCTGTGTCCCTGTTTCAAAACTGTCAATCTGCAGTAACCAGTATCACTGTAAAAGTAGCTTCCTTGCCCTTTACAGTCAGTGGGATCATGATTCATGGACTTCTACCTGGTTTCTGGCAATAGCACTGACTACGAACATCCACCTGGTCTACGGATTCAGCACTTTCCAGGAACTTCCTTCTGATCTCCTGTGGGAGTGCAGACAACAGACAACTGAAACACAGAGCACAGACGCCATCACACTCTTTATCAGCAGCACAGGCCTAAGTTGTCAACAAGGCCTCTGGGGTAACATGGGCCATGAACACCAATATGAACCGCAGTGACAGCCAGGCCCATGAACATCAACATGGCCTCTGGTAATGGCACAGACCACAGATATCCACATGTACCCATGAGACTCAAAGGCCACCCACGTCAAAATGGCCCTCCAGAGCAGCACAGTCCACAGAAATCAACATCTCTAACATGTCTAGGCAATGGCACTAGCCATTGATATCCCTGAAGGTCTTAGGTGGTGACATGGCCTACGTTCATCAGCACAGCCCCAGTCACATCAGGGCCATGACCCATACATAGCCCTCAGCTACAGCATGAACCACGGATATCGACATGGCCTCAGGTGAACGCTCAGGACACCAACATCAACATGGGCCTCAGAGGGCTCAGGGACCATGGATGTCAACAGACAGTGCTTCAGACAGTGGCATAGACAACGCACATCCACATGGCCCTGAGCAGTAACACAGACCTCAGACTTCAACACAACCCCTGGCTGCTGTAGGATCAATGACCCAAACATCGCCTTGCATCCACAGCATGGCCCACAGACATCAAAATGGCTTCAGGTTGCAGCATAGACCACAGACATCTGCATTGACCTCAGATTTTATCAGTGCCTGGAGCAGCAGCATTGACCACCAATACCAACACGGCCTCTGAGAGAATGGACCATGGAGGTATTTCATGGAGGACCAAGCCTGAAAATTAACTGTTCTTTATCTCGGACATCCTGTCATTGTTCATAGCCAGGGCAATTTTGCAGCTGAGCAGCTTGCTGGGTGTTGAGACTGCACAAACTCCAGGTTTCTGAACTCCATCCTACCGACCCTATTGGGCATCTACAGGTTCCCCGTCAATCACAGGCATCTCTCACACCTGTCACAGCTGTGGTGTCCCTGGTTCTGCCTCCACCGAACACCCACCACATTGTTCCTTCATCTTTCCCACTTATGCATCATATACCAATTTATCATGGTGTCATTGGAAACTGTAGTGTCACAAAGAAAACTTTTTGCTCAGACAGCTATACATGCAACTATTCATTGCAATAAGTTGTTAGTCTGGTTCTACGTTTCTCGCTTCTTACACATCGTAGAGACTGACTCATCACTGAGATTCCTCCTGGATATCCTGCTGTTGACAAGAGTCATGGTCTTCCTGTGACCTTTGGTCTGTAGTACTAGCTCCTTTGTGTGATCCAGAAGCTCTTAGATGAAGTAGATGTTGGAGTGGAACAACTCAAAGCACTGGATCTTGGACCAGATTGTTGTCGAGTTGGTCATTCTTGGCCACTTGTTTGACCACCTGTCTTGGCAGGGCCTGACTGCTACCCTCCTTTTTTCTTTTCTTTATTTTTTACCCACACTTTATTTTTTAGCTTGCCTTAGAAACCAGGCAGTAGTGTTACATGCCCTTAATCCCAGAACTAAAGAGGATTATAAAACTAAGGGAGACAGCTCTCAGGCTCAGTCTCATGCTGAGGTTTCCTATAGGCAGGATCATCATTTTTGAACTGAGATTGAGATAAGAGCCAGTGGCTAGCTTCTTTGCTTTTCTGGTCTTCCGGTTGAAACCCAACATCTATCTCTGAGTTTTTATTAATCTTGCTTCAGAAAACCAAAAGAGGAAGGGGAAGGAGAGAACAAAATGAAAGTGTATGGCCAAAAAGGCAGGGCTGTACAGGAATGAGGAGCTGGGGAAGGGAAGCCCAATCCTGGAGAAGTTTAGTCTAGGGGAAGGGTGAGAATACCTGAGAAGAGTCACAGGTCCTTGGGTGAGCCTGGGTCCAGTATGTGCCTAGGTATGCCAATAGACACCACAGATAGCCTTCTGTCCCTTAGGAGGTTGATGAGGAATGGCCCATATGAGAGGAAAATGTTCATTAGAAATTGGGGACTGGAGTTTCCTTTGGACCTGACATATCTTCAAAGTACTTTCATCTATTGGAAACTTCCCTTCATGGAATCTAAATATTAGCAGTTTAATAGAAACCACAGTCTAAGGAAATCCATTGTTCCTTCAGGCTCTACTTCTCCAGAAACCAGCATTGTTACATAATTTCCATTTAGTAATTGCTCTTTAAGAGACAAGCCATGCCCACTCCCTCCTTCCTTGCAGCCTCTGCCCCACTCTTCTCACTTCTGGTCCCCTCTCTGGGAGAGGCAGCTTCTGCCTGCCTCTCTCCCCACTTCTCTGCTTCCCCCTTTTCTGTCTTGCTTCTCTTTTTCTCTTCTCTCTCTCTTTCTCTCTCTCTCTTCTTCTCTCTCTCTCTCTCATCCCCGTTCTCCCCTTTTTCCTTTCCCTCCATAACCCAACTAATAAATATCCAATTGTATTCTGTATGATGTGCCTGTCACTGTGCCTCCCACCTGCTGCCTGCTCACACCACTCGCCAGGCTCACCGGGGACCAGCCCGTCACCACATAGCTGGGTTTTGTACCTTAGTTTGTACACCTGCTGCCACTGGGATCCCGCAGCCAGCTGCTGGGGACCCGCAGCAAATCCATAACAGTAATATCAGGTCTAATTTTGTATCCTTCTTCTTCTGGTGTAATTTTAAACTGTGACACCTCCCAACACTGTATTGTCAAGATCATCAAATCCTAGAAGTCCAGCAACGATTTCTTTATCACTCTTCGTCACAGTGTGAGCTCTTGATCCTATACTCTTGTCCATAGCTCTAGTGGCAGGATCTGTCATAGGCTCATGGTCACATTACAAACCATGGCCATGCAGGAAGTATGTTTTACTTTAACACGTGTGCAGTGGTTCCTTCCAGTTACGGCACCCATGCTTTGTCTGGACACAACTGGAGAATGACACATTGCCTCCATCTTGCAGCAAGACTGACTGAGGCTCCCAACATTCATGACTGCAGTGAAACAAGTGAACGTTTCCAATACAGACAGTGCTTGTCCTACAGCAGAGCCCCTGACAAGGGCATGGGCAGACTAGACATGAACATATAGTTAGCCTGGGGTCTCCTCTGCTGCTTTCACACTAAGTTGCACTAGGAACCAAAGTTTTCATCACTTAAGGGGCAGACAGAGTCCAAGGTAAAAAGAGCTGAGTAAGAGAGGGTGTGGCATCTTTGGGGTAGGGAGGGGGGTCCATGCAAATGTCTGTTGTCTCCCATTGCTCTATGAGTAATCCCTAATAAATTCATTTCTATTCATTGAGATGAACTTAATGAGTCAGTCTTTGGGCAGTGGAAAGGTCAGAAGTTAGGAGAGATGTTAATTTTACATCTCCCCAGAAAAGTCACACCACAGTTGGTCAACAAATATTTCAGTATATGCAAATGAGACTATATACTAGATGCAGATTCTAACTAAGGTGAAAATATATACAATTGACTGCTATTTCAAACATATTTTCAGATTATTTAAACTCAAGAAATTTAATTTATTTGCTGTTTATTTTCTTTCCTTAAGTTATAAACAGTTCATGAGAAACAAGAAATGATTCTACAAAAAACATATAGCAAGCATGTAGTTTTCAAACTTCTGAAATCACACCTTATCAAAACAGACTAAGATTTAGAAATCCAGCAGTGATTTTAAGTTTTAAGGTAATCATGTGTTCTGGCAGGGTTTTCATCCTATAATAACACCACTTGAAATTATTTTAAAGTATGTCTTAGATAAATTGCCACATATGTCCTAGCTTAAAACAATCTATTGAATAACAATGCTTTGGATGGGAAAAGTTTCAGATGATAAAAATAAGGGGATTTGTTGTTGTTGTTTTAAAGTGTAATTATGAGCAAAAAATCCTCATTGGTGACTAAAGTATTTATTCACTGGCAAAGAGAAAGTCTTGCTGACAAGTGGTGCTGATAAACCGGATGTCTGCAGGTAAAGAACCTTCCTCTGCTCTCACCCTGTAGTGCACTCAGCTCCAAATGCACCAAAGACATCAACACAAGACTTCAGGAGTCAAAAAAAAAAAAAAATACACCGGGCTTGTGCTAGAAACCACTTCCTGAAATGAAGAGCCTGTGGGCTGGACCGGCTACAGGGAGGAGAGAGAGTCCAGAGATCCAGAAGACAAACCTGGGAGATCCAGGAGATTCTGCTGAACTGGAACCTGTTGGCAAACCTGGGATACCCTGCTTTACTGGCTGAAAGAAGTGAGGCTCAGACCTGAGTCCTGCACTCAGCAGGCAGGGCCTCTGCAGGCCTGGCTGAAGCTCTCAAGCCTGACTCCTCCTCCAGCCCAGGCTTCTGCAGAGAATTCACAACAGGAAACCAGCTGAACATTGCCCAACCTCCACTCACAGGGTCCAGAGGAAGACCATCTGCCATCTGCGCAGACTCTGATGCCTGCCTGGCTTCCTGGAGGAGCTGGGTCTCTTTCACTTTCAAAAATACTTTTACTAGCTGAGAAGCCTTGGCCAGGAAAGCACACATCAGAGAGCCCCCTAAAAGAGCAGGGTGAGTAGTGGGACCAACAGAGTCCACCGAACTATTTGACTTATGGGAAGATAAGTGCATTAAGGCATTCTGTGGCAGACATGGGGGACCTTTTCCTGAGAGTCAGGGCCCAGGCTCCACCCCCGCTTGGAGAATCTGCAGGCCAGCTCTAGTGGGTGGAAGGTCGCTGGATTTCCCTGTATGTTTCTGCTCCTGTCATAGCCTATCCTGCACCCTCCTCTCTCCTGTCTGTTGTAAACCTGCAGGAATAAGGGTCCTGAGTGGGGAGGTGCTAAGTGGGAAGCCTGAGGATGAGAAATAAAGAAGACCAAAGCAGTCCATGGGACCAGCAGGGCTTGCCTAAGATGATAACATATGCCATGCAATTTGTTTAAAAGTACAATCTCATAGAAACTATTTGCAGGGGAAAGTGGCTAATGTCAAAAGAAAGCTAAATCAGACAATGTTGGCAAAAAGAACACAGGATCCCTTGGACAGAGCTGCCTTAGAACTGATAACCACATCCCAGGGGGAAGAGTCAGATCCCTGGAAGCCACAGCATCCTCCAAGGCACTGGTTCCAAGGCCAGGCCATTCTTGCCAGGTGCACTCCTGGACAATGATACAGAACTAATGTCTTTCTGTCCTTTTCTTAGGAGCTCTGGGAAAGCCTTGGGTCAGTCTGGCTCCCCACACTTTTCCACGTGGCTCTTTGATTTTCTCTGTGCAGTTTATCCTTCCAGCTTAGTTGTCTCTGGATTGTTCCTCCTGTGAGACACTCAGGGACAAAGATTTCTAAAGATTCCTTCACAGGGACTAGCCTGAACTCACAGCAAGCTCTTGACTCCCCCTCTGTGCAGTATCTCCCCACTCCACCCTCTGCCACAGTAATGGCTGAAGGATTGATCGCCTTAGAGTGAGACACTAGTAAAGGAATAATCTGAGGAACACAGAGCAGTGAGTGCCCTGCACCCTCCACCCCTGCACCCTCCATCCCTGCACCCTCCATCCCTGCACCCTCCACCCCTGCACCCTCCATCCCTGCACCCCCCATCCCTGCACCCCCCATCACTGCACCCTCCATCCCTGCACCCTCCACCCCTGCACCCTCCATCCCTGCACCCTCCATCCCTGTCTCCCTATCCTCTCAAATCCTGTCCCTGTAATCTCAACACCCTTTCCTCCATCCCCAACCCTTCTCCCTTGATTTCCATCCTCTAATCCTCCAGCTGTCATGCTCCATGTCCTGCATCCTTCCATCCCCTTGTTTTCCCATCCCTACACTTCCCCACCCTCCATTCTCCAGATGCCACCTTCCCACTCCCCCGTGTCCATCACTTTCCATGGCTAGGGCTGGGCCAAGTCTTTGCTGCTGTGGTTCTCCAAAGTTAGAGACCTAGATGTCCTGTCTGCTGCTGGTGTTGGGAACTGCGCCCTCCTCCAGGGACAGTGCTGCTTCTGCACCAACAAACCCAAGCTGATTGGTAGGGTCCCAAGACTTAATTAAGTACCAGATAAAGATTCAGTGACAGTCCTCTTTCTAAGGGTGGGCTTTTAGTTCCCTCCCACTCTGGCTCCTCAGCTTGATCTCTCCATTCCTCTTTATCCTCATTCTTCCAGTTTTCCCTGTCCTTTAAAAGTTTGCACAAGTTCCTCCTGGATCAAATCACTGCCATCACTAGATTCACATTAGGACAACGGCCACCCCGACTTGGAGCTTACTGGGTCCCCTGTCTTCTGTCTCATCTGACTCACTATAGCCCCTGTCTATTAACTGTGTTCACAGGTTTCTTCAGGAGTGAATGACAGCGATCACAGGATCCACTGCAGCAGATCAAGTTAAAACTCTTTTCCTGTTTCATGAAGTCACCCTAATCTATGCCCTTTAAACCCTAGGGACAGAGCCTACTACCACCTCCATCCTCTCCTTCCCACAGGAAGCAGTCAATGAAAGAGTACACCTCCTCTTCTTTTTATTTGTCCTCAGGGTCAGATAAATGACCTCATTAACCTAAAGAAGAAACCTTAGACAAGCTGAGTGCCCCCAACTCAATATAATGCTAAGCATGACTGCCTGACAGGAAAGCCAACACAGTAACAACAACATTCACTGGCACCATTCACGAAACTATAGAGAGCACATCCACTGATAAACTTCCCTACAAGAGCTCCCTCATCTACTCTATGAAGCCCAAACACTGCACCTGGACACAGTCTCCATCCCCAGGAGAGACCTAAGCCCTTCAGCTGTTCTGATTAGAGGACCATCTGTCCCTGTAGAGGCTGCTCTGCTCTTTCTTTTATTTCCTCCCTCAGTTCTGGTCAAACACCCTTTCTCAGCGCAGAAAAGGCTTGTGAAGACAAGAATTCACTGGCCTCCTGGTTGGTGCAACAACAGAAGTAAGCCCTGAAGCTGTATGGGAAAGAGCTGCATATCCAGGCATTATCTGAAGACACTGTCAACATAGGAGCAGCTCAGTCTCAGAAGTGACACAGAGAGGCTCAACATAAGGGTCCGTAACTCTTGGACCCCTCCCACCACACTTGCAAACAGATGGACCTGGAGCTACAGGGGCCCTTTTCTCTGTCATAGGAGGACTGCATGCTAAGTAAGTACATCAACGACCCCAATCCACCACTTCTGTAACCCCTTCATCACCACTGAGCCCTCCTGCCAGGGTTTCCATAGGCAAGATAACCTTCTGTCCAAAGAGTTCACAGGCCCAGGAAAGCCTGGAACAGGAAGGCTTGCAGAAGACAACAACTGAATGCTAAGCCACTCTGGCCTTTCACACCAGTGCATTTCAGGCCATCATGTCGTCCTCGCAACCAGAGAAGCGCTCAGATGCTGTAGTGGAGAGAGACAGGCATTGAGAAGGCTGACACGGGGTTCAAGCCATCTCCCAAGAGCAGCACTAAGTGGCAATGATGTTACAAGCCCAGACTTTGAAACGGAGCAGAGGCAGATTACAGCCTTTCTTGATGTTTCCATCTGGGCTCCTTGGGCTGTGGGAGTATAGTGATAATCCACATTGAATATTAAACTATCTAGTGTTCAATAAATGTTGAGTAATTATAAATGCAAGCCCATGTGATTACTGATGCTGCTATTGTAGCTTGCAACCGTGTGGTATAGAAGCTCAAAGCCACACGAGAGGGAGATGAGGCTCAGAGAGGAATAGAGACTCATAGGGAGCGCTAGTGTAGAACCAGGACAGGTGTGCGAACTTCATGGTCCCAGAGCAGGACCGTTTCCCAGTAGCACTAGTGAGAGCGTCTTTCTCCACATAAGACGATAGAGAAGGGTATAAGGTTAAGCAGGAAGGACCCCAGCTTTGCTTGCCTGGCTCCTACCGCTGTCTCTCTAATAAACACAATCACTTATGCTTCCCATTTGTTGAATTCTATGAAGTCTTTAATTTCTTTTTTATTTCTTCCTTGACCCAGTGGTGATTCGGTTGGGCATTGTTCAGTTTCTCTGAGTTTGTGGGCTTTCTGCAATTAGTGTTGTTGTTGAGTTGTAACTTTGAGCCGCGGTGATCCAATAAGATACAGGGGGTTATTCCAATTTCTTTGTATTTGTTGACATTTGCTTTGTGACCGAGTATGTGGTCAATTTTAGAGAAGGTTCCATGAGGTGCTAAGAAGAAGGCATATTATTTTGTGTTTGGGTGAAATATTCTATAGACGTCTATTAAGTCCATTTGAATCATAACATCTGTTGGTTCACTCATTTCTCTATGAAGTTTCTGTCTGGCAGACCTGTCCATTGGTGAGAGTGGGGTGTTGAAGTCTCTCACTACTAGAGTGTGAGGTTTGGGTGTGTATCTTAAGCTTTAGTAATGTTTCCTTTACAAATGTGCGTGCCCTTGTACTTGGGGCATAAATGTTCAGAATTGAGACTTCATCTTGATGGTTTCTTCCTACAGGTGCTGAGCTGCTGCAGGACCTGAGATGGGTGGGGGAGGGTCACAGGAAGTGCCCCTAGACCTAGGGCCTAGAGAGCAGGGCTGTCCAAGTAGGAGAGCAGCCCCTCGGTTCATCCTGTGCAGCTTGGGATAGTGATAGAGCAGCCTGGCAGCAGGAGACTTGCTGGTTTACCAGCTGCTGGGGTTGTGATGGGTGGGCAATGGACAGGGGAAGTGTCTCTGGACCTAGGGACTAGAGAGCAGATCTGTCCAACCAGGAAAGCAGCCATTCACCTCTTCTCCTTAGGTGGGGACTGTGCCTCCAGGGCCCTCTGATGCAGCCAGGGATGGTGGTGGAGCTCTGGAGGACATTTCGATGAGATGATTTAACTGGGAGGGAGGGAGCAAATGCAGCCTTGACCTTTCATCTTGTTATTACAGTGACACGGGGCATATGGGCTTCTTTTGTTGGTTCTGCTTCTGATATGGATTTCTTTTTAGTAACTCATGTCTTCAGGGGGAAGTACACTGCACCCTTTGCTCACTGTCCTACATTTATTTAAGGTATAGTGTTGATTAGCTTACAAAGTGGTAAGTTTCCATAGGGTCTTTCATGAATTGCTAGTTTTTGCTTTACCCATCGCCACCCACTCCTCTCCCCCATCAAACAATCTCTGCTCTCACTTCAGCCTTGAATCACCTAAACGTCACTTAAACATGTTCACATCACAAAGGTTCTGCTCTCTCTGGACCCTGTAAGGCCTTTTTACCTTAGCCCTCTCTTGACCTTATTACTTTTAGAAACACTCCAAATAAATGTCACACGACCCCGCCCCTAGATGAAAAGCTACAGACAATTAATGGAAGCTGAGAGAGGGAGACTCTGTCTTCTCCAGAGATGAGTACCTTGTAGGTTATCCAATCCCAAGTGGTTAGCATTAAATGTATAACAACACCACTAATTAGACTCGGCAGAATGTGTGGGTGTGTTTGTGTGTATGTGTGTATTGTATGTATGTATGTATTGTGCATAGATGGAACAAACATTAAAGAAAAAGAGAATTGGAGAGGGAAGGGGGAACACAAGAGGAAATGGGGGAGAAGAAGAAGGGTGGAATGATGTAAATATGATACAGATATAGGAAATTCTCAAAATTTAACTGAAAAGAAACTTTAAAAATAACAAATTAAACATAGAAATCTAAATATATGGATCATATACATAATATATGATCATATATCATATGATCCATATATAACAGAAAAATGTGGCAGTTGTCTCTCTAGGCATGTTACCTCACTAAGTAGGATATTTTTCATTTTCATCCATTTTCTGTGGATTCTTTATTGGTCTTTTCTTCTTTATGTGTACATTGTGGTTTGCATACATGCATGTGCATCCTTTCATGTGTTGGGACATACACATATGGGAGGTTGTAATGTGATCTTGTAAGCACTCTAAATTGATGTCTAGAATCTTCCTCAGTTGTTCTCCCATAGGCACTGAAGTAGAGGCTCTTATCCAAACCCAGAGCTTGTCAGTGGAACAAGTCTACCTAGCCATCTTGCTCTGTGGATCCTTTGACTCAACTTTCTGAGCCTGGAATGCCAGGGCCACAATGCTAGTGCAGTGTGTAAAGGAGTTCTAGGGACCCAAATTCTAGTCCACACGCTTTTTCTTCAACCTCATTAACTTGCTGCCCCAGATATTTTTAAAGTATGACAAAACTGAAGAGGATTTAGATGTGTGTGTGGTAACAAATACATTCCACCTGGGAGGTCTTGGAGAGCATGGCCTAGGAAGAGCGGAGCCCTCTCTCGGCACCTCAGCAGGCATGGCCTGAGCCAGGCAGACCTTGACCACAGAACTGAGTCCCTGCTGCACTCAGGAGATGTTAGACGTCTTTCTACAGAAGACAATGGGAGCGGATCTATAGATCCTGATTTCAGAGGCAAGTTGGCCCCTGAAGCCAGTCTCTCAAGGGCTAATTGATGCTGCACTCTGTGCTCTCACCAAATTTTCTGCAGCACCTTGGGGAAGGTAGGACATGCTACTACCTTGTACTATGGGAAACCAGCAGGTGCTGAGGATTGGATTCTGGTCCATGGGGAATCCTCCTGACTAACTTATCTGAGTTCCTTCCGAAGAGGATGCTGAGAGGAGGTCTGTGTTTAGGGCCATCTGGAAAGAGGACTCCACGGATGGAGTTGTTGGAGGAAGGGAGTAGCTCAGGAGGGGGAAGCCTGCAAAGTGTGCTGTGCAAACTGTGGAGCAGGTTACATCAAGAGCAGATGTGTTAGTTTGCTTTTCATTGCCAAGATAGGGAACAGAAACTGGATAATTTGGGGTATTCTTGGTTTTTGTTTGATTGATTGTTTGATTGACTGGTTGCACCCCAGGATGTTTCAAACTCACTATAGAAAAGCTAGCCCTGAGCTCTTGATTCTCCTGCCTCTGACTTCTGAGTAATGACTACAACCGTGCTTAATGGCTGTTTTGTTCGTGTGTTTGAGCGGTTGGGTTTTTGTTTGTTTTTTTAGGACTTGTATTTTTAATTATACTTCTGGAGTTTGAAGACCAAGAATAGAGACCATGACTGCTCTGCTTTTAAAAAAAATAAAGAAAAGAAAAAAGAAAAATGTATACAGTTGAGCAGGTGCCTGCAGGAGAGAAAGGGAACCCCTTCCAACAACAACTTGCCCATTCCTAGAAGAAAAGTATTGGTCAACTAATAAGGGGCCTGCCCCCATGACTGTAATGGCTCACACTAGGCCCTTGTCCCTTTGCTGCCACACTATCAACAGAATTTTAGTGGGTACTAAGGACATCCAAACAGTAGTCACAAGCAAGGTTTGTTGTTACCTATGATATCTGAAAAGCAGTACAAAATATGCCTGGTGTTGCCAGGCCTAGGGAGAAGGGGCATAGTTTATGTCCTGAAACATGAACTCTTAAGTATCCCAAGGCCACCCCTTCAGACCCACAATCTCAGGACTGCAATGGTGGGGGCCAACGGGATCTGTCAAGAACATACATTAGCTCCACTGTCTATAATCTTACCCAGTACTCTATGGCTTCCTGCAGTAGATATCACAGGCCCCAAATTACAGGTGGGAAAACTGAAGCTTCATCGAGCTGGTGGATCATCACACGGACGGAATGAGGACAAAGCTGTGTCTGTGAACTCACCCTTTATTCTCAGCCACTAGAGCAGGTCTGGCGCAGAGTAAGACATTGATAAATTTCTAAAGTGTGAATGAAATCCCACAGCCATATTATTAAGTAGTGAAGTGAAACTTGAACTAGACTCTTCTACTCTAAAGCTCACGTTCTTTGCACTGCACTGTTCAGAATATCCCAGCGCCCACAGCCAGTCTGCTATACAGCTTAGACAGATGCCCAGGTTCATCCAGTCGTTGAAGGGTGAAAGGAAGAGAGGAAGGAAAGAAAGAATGAAAAAACAAATAACTCTACAGTGTACACTTATGCTCCATCATTCTTCCTGAATTTGTGATTCCTTTCAGAAATGCATCAGAACAAAGGAAGAGAAGATCTCTGCCACACTGCATCTTGGAAAAGGAAAACTGAGGATTTGCTCCAGAATTACACACAGCTTCTACTTCTACAAAAATCTTGCCCAAGAGGCAGGGACACCTTTGTCTGGAAAAGATGGCGTAAAGGTAAAGGAGAGGAGAGTGGACACCTGATTGCCATCCAAGACTTATTTGACCTAAGCCCAGACACCCAGGAAGAGTCTCAATTAATAGTATTAGAGGGGGCTGCTGGCATTGGGAAGTCAACGCTGGCCAAGCAGGTGAGGAGAGCATGGGGGGAAGGCCAGCTCTACAGGGATCGCTTCCAGCATGTCTTCTACTTCAGCTGCAGAGAGCTGGCCCAATGCAAGCAGCTGAGTCTCACTGAGCTCATAGCAAAAGACCAGACTCTGCCTGCAGCTCCCATCAGGAAGATCCTGTCTCAACACGAGAAGCTGCTCTTCATCCTGGATGGCATAGATGAGCCAGCCTGGGTCTTGGAAGAGCAGAATCCTGAACTCTGTCTACACTGGAACCAACATCAGCCTGTGCACACACTGCTGGGCAGTTTGCTCAAGAAATCCATCCTGCCTGGGGCTTCCTTGCTGCTCACTGTTCGGACCACAGATATACAAAAGTTAATTCCTTCTTTGGGACAGCCACGTTGGGTAGAAGTCTTGGGATTCTCTGAGTCTGGACAGAAGGAATATATGCACAAATATTTCACAGGAAAAAGAGAAGCAAACAAAGCTGTTAGCTTGGTTAAATCAAACCCAGTACTCTCAACACTGTGTGGCGTGCCGTGGGTGTCCTGGCTGGTCTGCACCTGCCTGAAGCAGCAGATGGATTGGGGAGAAGACCTCTCACTGACCTCACGGACCACCACAGAGCTCTGCCTGAAATACCTCTCCCAGACAATACCAGTCCAGCGCCTCAGGACCCATCTCAGAAGGCTCTGCTCACTGGCTGTTGAGGGGATCTGCCGAAGAAGGACCCTGTTCAGCGAATTAGATCTCCAGAAGCAAGGGTTAACTGAGGATATCATTGCCACTTTCCTGAAGTTTGGTCTCCTTCAAAAGCAAACCAGCTCTCTGACTTACAGTTTTGCCCACTTGTGTCTCCAGGAATTCTTTGCAGCAATGTCCTACATCTTGGGGGATAGTGAGGAGAGATATGGTGATATAGAAAACTACAAAATTGTGGAGAAACTGATAGAAGTGTATGGAAGACGAGACCTGTTTGAGACACCTACCATGCGCTTCCTATTTGGTCTTTTAAGTAAAAATGGAATGAGAGAGTTGCATAAGATCTTTGCCTGCAGGTTTCCTTGGAAGACATGGTTGTACCTGCAGTGGCACATCCTAGAAGAAGCCCTGTACCATCAACCATATTCCCTGGGTTTACTCCATTGTCTGTATGAGATTCAGGATAAGAAGTTCCTGACAGACGTGATGCACAACTATCAAGAAACGAGGGCACATGCCCCAGTGGATATGCTACACCCAAGGTTCCTGACAAACATGAAGCACCTGGTGGTCCAGACAGACATGGAGCTCATGGTGGTCACCTTCTGTATTAAGTTCTGCTGCCATGTGAAGAGGCTTCAGCTGAACGATTGTGGACAACAGGGACCAATGCTGATGGTCCCCAGGATGGTTCTGTGAGTATCCAGACACAGCCCTCTCTCCAGCTTCCCTGGGGAATCCCATGAACATACATGTTCTGAGCACCAGTAGCACTCTTAGCTGTTTTCAGGACAGCAGGATACAGGTCACCAATGACATCTTATTGTGAATATGACCACCTTTCTCTATTTGCCTCTGCATACTTGACTATGTGATCAAGCTATGAGCTTTTATCTCTCCCTATGGCTCTGTGAGGCTCACCCACCTTCTCTGTTTCAAATCTTCTTCTCCCTTCACAAGGTTCAAATGGCCCACAGATATGGATCCTCTCTCTTACCATACTTTCTCTCTGAGAGACTGCTCATTCAGCTCCTGCAGGCATCATCCCTTCTCCCCGTGACAATGACCTTGGCCCTGAGTTCTTCCCACCATCACCTCAGAAGGCACATGTGTTAGAATGCATATATTTTTCCTGCCCAAATGACTTCCTTGTATAAGTCAGTGAAGGCAACATGGGCCTAGTACTCAGCTAGAAGGCTTCCTAACTTCCTACCAAACTCAGCATCAATGTAGACCTCCACTTCCAGGGTCCCCTAACTGTACAGAAATGGTGGCTCAGTATCAGTTTGTGTCTCTCTCCTCTCTAGATGATTTACTAAGCACTGATTTTATGCCAGGGCCTGCCAATCAATCACAAGAGGAGAAATACAGTTGTTCTCCTAAGGATTCAAAACTGGGAGAGAAGGAAGCAACTACTCTAACTACACAGGGTGTGACTGTTGAAATAATCAGGAACAGACCAGTTTTCTTGAGGTGAGAATTTTGACATCAATCTGAACAACACAGCAAGAGCCCATGTGAAAAATAAATAACTTAAAAGTAGTAGAGCAAAGCTTAGAGAACAGGAAGAGGATGAGGAGAGAAGGGAAAGAGAGAAGAACAAACATGATCAAACTGTCTTACATGTAGGAGGTTGTCTCAATGATGCTCACTCTATATTCTTAGAATGAACTCAAGAAATATGCCTGCTGTGGAAGAGTGAGGATTTATCAATTATCATAACAATAAAAATTAGTATCCTCCAAAATTCCATTTCTCAGAGAGGACAGCATTAAGAATTGGGGTAGCTAGGCTTGGTCTTGCATACCAGTCATCCCAGTCTCAGAAGGCTGAGGCAAGAAGACCCATAGTTCCAATCCAGCCTGGGCTACACAGTGTGATGCTGTCTCAAACTATCAGGGACTAAGGATGCTACTCATTTGGGAGGGATTGCCTAGTGTGTTGGTTAATTTTCTGTTGCTGTGATAAAACACTATGGCCAAGACATCTTATAGAAGAGTTTCTTTGGGCTTCTGGTCCAGAGGTATAACCATCCATCATGGCAGAGGGAAAGGATTGTGACTGAACCTGGAACTGAGAGAGTTCAATTCCTGAACCACAAGCAGGAAGCAGAAAGAGTATACTGGGAGTGGCTCAAGACTTTGAAATCTTAAACTCTATCCCCAGTGATGCATTTCCTCCCACAAAGCCACAACCCCTAAACCTCCCCAAAGAGAACCACCAGTTAAGGACCAAGCATTCAAATGCCCATGACTGGGTGACATCTCATTCAAAACTCCTCACTACCCATGTTATCTTATATTCACATTTATTTTCTTAATGAATCAAGACTATCTTCTCTGGTCACTAAAGGTCTAGTATAATACCATTTGGAATAGCCTTATGATATTACCTTAATGAATTGGGTCATTTTCCTGTTCTTAACCAGTACAAGTTGCTTCTGAGTGTCTACAATTATACAAAAGTAAGCCTTGAATGCATTGATACCGAAGTGACTCAAAGTGGTCTGACGTGGAGACTCAGAAAAATTCTGAGTGTGTACAGAGACAGAGGCCAAATAGAGCAAGAGAAACAAGGAAAGTCAGCCTGCTTGAAAATGGCAGTGGCATTAGGGTCTTAGGGACATTCCCATGGGAGAGGGCGTGGCTTTAGCTGCTAGTGAGAAAGTAAAGGCAGAGAGGTCAGCAAGGACACCATTTCACACTTAGCAAACAGAAGTGGAGGGTCCCAAAGTCAAGGAATCCAAAATGGCAGGTGAGTGTCTTAGGGTTTCTATTGCTCAAAAGAGACATCATGACCACGGCAACTCTTACAGAGGTAACATTTGATTGTGGTGGCTCACTTACAGTTCAGAAGTTCATTCCATTATCATCGTGGTGGGACCTGGTGGTGTTCAGGCAGACTTGGTGCTGTAGAGGTAGCTGCTACATGTTGAATGTAGGCAACTAGAAGTAGACTGTATCACTGCACATGGCTTGAGCATAGATGAGACCTCAAAACCTACCTTCACGGTGACATAGTTCCTCCAAAAAGACCACACCTACCCCAACAAGACTACACCTTTTAACAGTCACTCCCTTTTGAGTCCATTTTCCTTCAAAACACCACAATTGGCAACTTCTGTGTGTAAGTCATAATGGTGCCTGATGTTTTGTGATAGCACATTCTGAGGTTCCACTTTCAGTCAGTATAAATACTAAACACGCATCATAACTACCATCCTTTGGCGACTGAGAGACTGATTCCACCGTTAAGAGATCCTGATGCTCTTTCAGAGGATGTGGATTCATTCCCAGCACCCACATCAGATGGCTCACAATCACCTTTGCCTACACTTTCAGAGGATCCAATGCCCCGCTTCAAGTCTCTGCAGGTTTCTGCATGCATAGAGCACACACAGTCAAGCAGGCATATAAACATACGGTCTTAGGGCTTATATTGCTATGAAGAGATGCTATGACCACAGCAACTCATAAAGAAAACAATTAATTAAGCTGACTTGTTTACAGTTTCAGAGGTACATTCCTCTGATCATCATGGTGGGGAGTATGGTAGTGGGCAGGCAGACATGGTGCTGGCTACATCTTCATATGCAGGGCACAGGGCAACTGTGCTATACAAGGGCAACTGATACCCTTGGTGCTATCCTGAATAAAAGAGACCTCAAAGCCCCCCCCCTGAGCGATGCCTCTCCCTATGAGATTATGAGTATCAATTACATTCAAACTACCACATACACATAAAGTTAAAAAATAAAGCTTTTTAAAAACACCATCCTTCAAAACTTAGTATTTGTTTTCCTTTACATTTGTTGATTTTGTAAATTTAAAAAAAAAATCCTATACTTTAGCTTTAGTCAAAGTTGGCCAACTCTAATCTGTGTTTTGGAACTTGTAATTTTATTTTGAGTTCGGTATGTTGTTTTGATTACAGTGTTAGGGAACAAATGTTGCATACATCAGGTCCAAAGCTACTTCCACCCCTAATGGTTTGGAGATGATCTGGTTTACAATTCACCATTCTCTGGCCTCTATAACTTGGTTTCTGGCATTAAAGGAATAAACTACCATTCGTGGAGGTTCTTCCTCTCTCTCTCTCTCTCTCTCTCTCTCTCTCTCTCTCTCTCTCCCTATCTCTCTCTGTGTGCCTCTGTCTGTTTCTGTGTCTCTCTTTGTCTGTCATTTATCTCCCTGTATGTCTGTAAATTTCTCTCTGCCTATCATCCTCTGTCGCTCCCTGTCACTATCCATCTACCGACATCTATACCTTTATCTATACATACATATAGATACAGATGTCCCCTCCCCCCTTCTCGCGTAAAGACATAGGGACACATGGACTGACACATCTGTAGAGGTGATGCCCATGCTCAACATCCCACGAGAGAGTCATTCTCAACCACCTCTCCTGAGCGCTCTTCCTACCTCCGCTTTTCAGATTTCCTGTATGAGATTCTAGAATTCTGTCCCAAGGGACAGCAGTTATACCCACATCAAAAGAAAGGGCTTGCACCTCCTACCAGAAATGGAGAAGTGTTCCCTTTACACCACATTCTCCCCAATATAAGCTGGCATCATTGTTTTTGAACCTGGCCATTCTGACAGGTATAATATGGAATCTCAGCATTGTTTTTATTTGCATTTCTCTGATGGCTAAGAATGTTGAGCATTTCCATAAGTGTATTTCAGCCATTTGACATTTGACTAGTGAGAGTTCTCTGTTTGGGTCTGTACCTCATTTTTTGTCAGATTATATGTTCTTTTGATGTCAAGATTCTTGAGTTCTTTGTATTTATTGGAGATAAGTCCTCTGTCTGATGTGGGGTTGGTAAAAAATCTTCTAAACTTGTACAGTTGCTTTGGAAAACAGTACGACAATTTCTCAGAAAATAGGAAACAATCTACCTCAATACCCAGCAATACCACTTTGGGGTATATACCCAAAGTATGTTCCATCATACCACAAAGACATATGCTCAACTATGTTCTTAGCAGCATTATTCATAATAGCCAGAACCAGGGAAAAATCTAGATGTCCCTCAACAGAAGAATGAATAAAGAAAAAGTGGTACATTTATACAATGGAGTACTACACAGCAGTAAAAAATAATGGCATCTTGAAATTTGCGGTCAAGTGGGTGGGTCTAGAAAAAACCATATTGAGTGAGGTAACCCAGAAAGACAAGTATAATATGTACTAACTCGTAAGTGACTTTTAGATATAAAGCAAAGAAAAACCAACCTACAATCCACAACCACAGAGGATCTAGACAACAAAGAAGACCCTAACCTAAGAGAGACATACATGGTTGTATGAAGGAGAAGGAGACAAGAGCAAGGAAGGAGAAAAAGACAAGAGCAAATTTGGAGCATGGGCGTCACAGGTCAGGGCAGAGGAGAAGAGGGGAGAGAAGGGATCAGAGAAATGTATAGCTCAATAAAAACAACAAAAAATGAAGAGGCCATCAGAATTACCAAGGTCCCTCTTTGTGCCAGTGTCTGTGCTGGGTACTATAGATTATAAAGAAAATATGCCAGCCACTTGTTCATACCCTAGATTTATCAGATACAGACACACAAAATGAGCGCATAGCATGCTATGATAAGGATGTAGATGAGGAACCACCCAAAGGAAAGGATCCAGATGTTGGAGCAAAGGAGCAGATAGAAGATGGTGAATCCTGGGAATGGCATATTGAGGCCTGGTGATCAGGTAGGTAGAAACATAATCTGCTGTGTGGGGCTGTGCACGTCAGAGACCATGTACAAACAAATCACTTTCTTCATGTCTCTCTCTCTCTCTCTCTCTCCCTCAGGTCCAGGTGGACCCCTATAACTAATGCCAGTTGGAAGATTCTTTTCTATACTCTTAACTATACCAGAAGCCTGCAAGAGCTGGACCTAAGTGGAAATCCAATGAGCTACTATGCACTGCGGAGTCTTTGTAGGACACTGAGATGTCCCGGATGTCACCTTAGAACATTGTGGTGAGTCTGGCCTGGGTTCTTCCCTGAGGCAGAGATGGATGTGAGGAGAGCAAAGGCAAAAGCTGGGTCTCTGTTGAGGCTTAGTATTCTTCAGATATTCTCCAAACATTCCTGACCACATCAGTAACAGCTGCCAGACTTGTTATGATAAACAAATGGGTTCTGTTCTTGTGGATCATGAGAGACTGACATTCAACGAGAAGCCCCACTAGCTATTGCTAACAATAGGCACCGAAGGCCTCCAGTGGAGCAAACACCCTGAGAAAGGGGCTAGCGGAGCTGAAGAACACAGAGGAAGAGGTTAAATGAAACAGGAGGGAAGAAAGGTCAAGGCCCAGGGAATGGCATCTCCCATTTCCTCCTTGATCTCTGCCCTTGCAACCACCTCCTACTCCATTTCTATGAACTCCATCTTTACTAAGAATTCACGTGACAAGTGAGATTATGCCCTAGTCTATGGCTGGTAAATGTCACATCAGATGGCTCTTGAAATAGACCATGAGCTGTCCAGGGACTCACAAAGCTCACTCATAGCCAGTCACAGCAGAGCAGTGGTTCCCAACCTGTACTGCATTGCTCCTGCAGCTTAGCTGTGAGAAGCATGGAATTATCCACCCAGACTAGAAAGGGCTCTAAAGGAGCTAAGCACTGCTAACACCGCATGCCAGGGCTCACAAAGGGAGACCTGAGCTCAGTTCCCAAGAGCAGTGATCCCTGGAGAATCTGATGGTGAGCATCTCATGCAGGCTTGCCAACTGTGGCCTCACATCCAGCTGCTGTGAGGACCTGGCCTCAGTGCTCAGTGCCAGCTCCAGCCTGACTGAGCTAGATCTGCAGCTGAATGACCTGGGAGACCATGGTGTGAGGCAGCTGTGTGAGGGCCTCAGGAATCCTGCCTGCAACCTTAAAATCCTGTGGTAAGTAAGTAAATCCTGGGATTCACTTCTGGACAGGAGGCAAGGGAAGGGTCACAGGGGCATTATTAGATAAGAGGACATAGAAAAGAAAAGGGACAGACAATGCATAGTCACCCTTGCTCCTGAGCAGCTGGGCCACCAATACCCCAGTACTTGGGCAAGTCACTGTCTTGTTTAAAAGACATTTTTCTCATCTGTTAAATGGGATGTCATACCCACATTATGGGGTTTTCTTTTTCTTGTTTGTTTTTGTCTTTGTTTTTTTTTACCTTTTTATTTTGACTTTCTTTTTAAATTTTATTTTGGAAAACTACCTTTTTCCATTTTACATACCAATCCCAGTTCCCACTCCCTCCCCTCCTCCCTTTCCCTCCACATACTCACTACCCAACTCTCCATCCACTCCTCAGAGAAGGTAAAGCACATTGCTGTGGGGAAGGTCCAACGCCCTCCCTACTATATCTAGACTGAGCAACATATCCATTTAAAGAGAATGGGTTCCCAAAATCCAGTACAGTGGCCCCGCAGTCTACCCCAGCCATACAAATGCCACCCACATTCCGAGGGCCTAGTTTGGTCCTATGCTGGTTCTTTTCCCGTCCTGCCAGAGTTGGTGAGCTCCCATTAGCTCAGGTAAGTTGTTTCAATGGGTGTCCCATCATGGTCTTGACCTCTTTGCTCATATTCTCACTCCTCCCACTCTTCGACTGGACTTTGGGAGCTCAGTCCAGTGCTCTGCTGTGGATTCTCTGCTTCTGTGTATCAGTTACTGGATACAGGTTTTATGATGGCATTTAAGATAGTCCATGACACAGTCTCAGTGTGGTTGGTCAGTGTGCAAGGAGTTCTGAAGCCAGGAAGAGGACCTTTGGAACTTTCCAGACTTGGAATGAGGGGTTGGCCATTTATACCCCTCCCCCACAAGTTAGTCACTGGAAACAGACTGTCCCAGGGAGGGGAACATTGCCATAGATGAGGGGATTCTTGCTGGTTTGTATGTTTTGCATTTTGATTATTATATGATGAGGGAACTTTATTTTTTTGGTCCAATTTATTTGGTGTTCTTTAAGCTTCTTGTGCCTTCAAAAGGATATATTTCTTTAGGTTGGGAAAATTTTCTTCTATGATTTTGTTGAATATATTTTCTGTGCCTTTGAGCTGGACTTCTTTTCCTCCTTCTATCCCTATTATTCTTAGGTTTGGTCTTCTTATGGTGTCCCAGATTTCCTGGATGTTTTGTGTTTAGAATTTCTTGGATTTAACATTTTCTTTGAGCAATGAATCTATTTCCTCTATGGTATCTTCAACATCTGAGATTCTCTCTTCCGTCTCCTATGTTCTGTTGGCTATGCTTGTATCTGTAGTTCCCATTCATTTTCCCAGATTCCCTTTTCTAGTATTCCCTCGGTTTGTGTTTTCTTTATTGCCTCTATTTCAGTTTTCAAGTCTTGAACTGTTTGTTTCACCTGTTTGGTTGTTTTTTTCTTGGTTTTCTTACAAGTTACATTTAGAGTCTTTTTCTTCTCCCTCTTTCTGGTGTAGGATGCTCAAGTCTTCCTGGTGTATGACCACTGGGTTCTGATGTTACCATTTTGCTTTTTAGGTTGTTGGATGAATTCTTGCATTGGTGTCTACCCATCTCTCTTCCTCTAGTTGGTACTGGCAGTGTCTTTTCCTCTTGGTCCAATTCTCACAATTGCTGTCTATGTCTTTGGGAATTGTTCTTGGTCTGCTCTGTACTGTCACTGTCTGTGTCTCAGGGAACCATGGAGGTTTCTCTTGGCCTGCTCCTTGGTCCACTGTCTTGGTCTGCTTTTTTGGTCAGCTCTCTTGGCCTGTTCTGTGCAGTCTCAGCCTGTGCTTCAGAATTCCTCTGAGGTCATGGAGGATAGGAGGATTTGGAGGTGGATTAGGACTTGTAGCTTAGAGGGCTTCTCCTAGGCCTGATAGAGAAATAGGCCTTGGTTGGGCCAACCAGGAGACAGCAGCCTAGACAAAAGCAGAGTTGGGGAAAGCTCCAAAAGAAAAAGTTCATGGAGCACTGGAAGGCCATGGAGTTTCACTACAGGAGCTTGAGGTGCCCAGAATCCCTATGGGAGTATGGTCATGACCTCCAGCCACTGGGAACGCTGATGGCTACTCTGTGGTCCTTTTCCAACAAGAATCCCCTCAGCTCTGGCTGTGTTCCTTTCCCTGGTATAGTCTGTTTCCAATGACTGACCTGTGGTGAGGAGTATAAAGGACCAGCCCCTCATTTCAACTCTGGAAAGTTCCATAGGTCATCATCCTGACTTCAGATCTCCCTGCACAATGAACAGAGCCCCCTAATACTGTGTCATGGATACGTATCCCTCTGCTCAGACCGCTATTCTCCATCCTTTGTCCTGGTTTTTGGTTTTGGTTTTTGACTGGGGAATAAGTCTTCTCACTAGATCCATCTACAGAAAACAGAACCCAGGATCCTGGACCATGAGGCCTCATTATCCTGTGGTGGATCCCAGAACAAACACCCCCTTTTGTGCTTGCAGGCTGGATCAGGCCTCTCTCAGTGACCAGGTGATGATGAAGCTCAGGCTCCTAGAGGCAAAGAATCCACGGCTACTCATCTCCAGCACATGGTAAGGGTGGACACAGAACTCCTACTGGTCAACCCAGGCTCTATGTGACTGTGTGAGAGCTGAGAGGTGGGAAAGGGGTCCTGAGGTGATGAGAGATACAAAAAGAGCAAGAAAGAAACCAGGACCCACGAAGACCAAATTGAGAATGGTTTCTGTGTGTCTGGGATTGCACTTTTTGAGAAAAAAAAATAGAATCATATAATATGCCAACATAAGTTCTTTCATCAGAAAATGGAATACTAAAAGTGAGTTAGTTGTGAGTCCCCTGGGCACAGCAAGTGCGACAATGGTTGCCACCCGTAAACCCAAACCACTGGAAAAATAAAAGCAGTAACCACACTTTAGAAAGATAAGGAAAATCTCTTAGACAACAATAATCACTATGGGTATCACTGTCCTGACCCTAATCTCCAGGCAATCATACACAGAGGGGTATGTGCATGGCACACACACACACACACACACACACACACACACACACACACACACAC